AAATGGTACAGCCACTTTGAAAGCAGTTTGGTAGTTTCTTAAAAGTTAAAAATGATTCATGTTTATCACATGACCCAGCAATCCCACACCAAGTTAAATAAAAATTTACCTTAACAAAAAACCCTATGAATGTTTCTAGCAACTTTTATAATCACCAAAAACTAATTTCAACATCCCTCAATTGAGAAATGAATAAACTGTGAGATACCCATACAATGGAATACTGCTCTGCAATACAAAGGAATAAACATATACACAACATAGACGAATCTATATGAATTATGCTAAGTGAAAGAAGCCAGATTCCAACAGCTATATAATATACGATTTCATGTATATGACATTCTGCAGAAGAAAAGTGTCTAGGGACAGAAAACAGATCAGTGGTTGCCAACTACTGGGGGTTGACTACAAAGGAGCAGGAGGGAATTCTGGGGGGTAATGGAACTGCTCTATATTTTGACTGCTACTGGTAGTCACATAACTATATGTATTTGTCAAAACTGCAAAATTACACACAAAAAATGGGTGAATATTACTATATGCAAATTTTTCCTTAATGAAAAAATTTATATATTATTAAGCTAAGTAAAACTAACAAAACCCAAAATTAACATGCAAATAAGCTTAATTTAAAAAAAAATTTTAAAAAGCTTAAAAATAAGAAAAAGTGGCTAAGCCCATTTTTGGAAATTAAAGTCCAAGCTACAATTGTGCCCCACGAGGCAGGTTAATCTCATGCTTTTGCTTGGTTTTACTCCTCTGGTAGTAAAATAATAGTACGTTGGACTCTTTAAAAATATACTTAAAAAAAGGTCTATAAAATGTTTTGTTCATTCCAAATGCCTGCTAGGTCAATAACTCAATGAAATCCATCATCCTACATTCCCAAGTGCTCTCTTTGTTCTTTCAACATTTTTTTTTGCATTTTAAGACTATCCACCATGTCAGAACATTATTCAACTCTACATTTCATCAACTTATTGCAAGTTCTCTTTATATTATACTTCTCAACAAGACCTTAGGGAAAAATTGCTGTGCTAAGGGTAGGACTATCACCTTAGTCCAGGTCCTTATCTTTGCTCCTAGCTACACTTGATTTCAGGCTATCTCTACTTTCACCGATCCTATCTTTGGCTGACTGATCTGCTCAAAAGGTTTAATTCTTTTTTTTTTTTCCTGCCACACGGGGTCTGCCCCCACCAATCAGTGGAACTATTTTTCCAGTGCAAATCCATTAAAGCAAATTTTAATGAGACAATGGAAAATATCAGTTTACACTTGAATATTACTCTCACAGAAATTTGAAGAAATGGGTTTAGAATATATTGTTAAAAAGCTAATCACTATCTGTATCATTTAGGAATTTTTTTTTTTTTTTTTTTTTTGACAGAGACAGCAAGAGAGGGAACACAAGCAGGGGGAGTGGGAGAGGGAGAAGCAGGCCTCCCCCCAAGGAGGGAGCCCGATGTGGGACTCGATCCCAGGACCCCGGGATCATGACCTGAGCCGAAGGCAGACGCTTAACGACTGAGCCACCCAGGCACCCCTCATTTAGGAATGTTAAACACTGTTCAATTTCTACAAAACAAAATCTAATTTAAAGAATTTGAGACAGGGCTTAGAATTTACTTGGATTAACAATGACGTTATGCCAAAAATAGTCCTGGCCTTACAAAACTCTTAATTTTTTGCCTTTCACTATATAATTTTCTGATGCTTTCATCAGCCAAAAGGGTTGGGACTTTATATAAATCCAGTGGAGTGTTGCCTAAATTATGTTTCATAGGGAGGTTAATAGGTGTGGTGGGAGGAGGTGGTTAATGAGGAGTACAGGCAAGAATTTCATGGTAAGTTTGGAAACGTTTCTCTTTGACACTTTTTCTCTGAGTATACTTATTAACATCTCACCCAACACCGGGCAGAACACAGTTCGAGAAATCTTTAAACAGAAGATTAATTCAATTAAAATTAAGTTGAAAAAATTTCATTGCATCAAAGACAATGCTTGCACCATAGGCAGCAGTTACCAAATAGCAACTAACTGGGGAATGCAGACACAACTCCGGTAGATGCATGTTAGTCTTAAGTAGCTAAATTAATACCTTGTTACTCAATGGGTATACTTTTGACCAGGAGTTTCTGCATCACCTTTCACTGTTCAAGCTGTCTCCCAAAATCAATTTCAATCTTCAGAAATTTAACAACATCCCCACATGATTTCAATGCATGTTAAAGGTTGAGAAGCACAGGCCTACAACAGGAGTTCCCAAACTTTCTGTAAAGAGCCAGAGAGTTAATATTTTAGGTTTTGTGAGCCATGAGGTCTCTGTCATAACTACTCAACTAGGCTGTTTATTATAATTATAAAAAGGTCTATATATTAAGAAGGTATAGTAATTAAAGATGTATATATATACTTGGAACAGAACACCAAAATACACTGAACAAGAAAATGACAGAATCAAAAGGACAAAACCACAATTTAGCAACTTATAATGAAGGTTTTTAATATCCCTCTCTCTGTCCTAATGGAAATAGAAAATCTGCAAGGATATAGATTTAGGAAGAAAACCCACCAGCTTGATCTAGCTGGTATTTATAGAACACTCTATCCAATAACAGCAGAATGCTCATTCTTTTCAAGTGAACATGGTGTCTTCTCTAGAATAAAACACATGGTAGGCCACAAAACAAGTCTTAATAAAAGACTAAAGTCATATAAAGTATGTTCTCCAATCACATGTAATTAGAAATCAATAACAAGAAAATGTGGGAAATCCCTCAAATATCACATTATCAGACAACCAATTTTTAAGTAACCCAAAGGTCAAAGAAGAAATTTCAAGAGTAATTAGAAAATATCTTGTGAGACAGCATAGTACTAGTATAAGGTCAGACATATAGATCAATGGAACAAAAAAGAGAGCTCAGCAATAAAGCCTTACATTTATATTTCACTGATTTTGGACAAAGGTATCAAGGCAATTCAACAGGGGAAAGGAAAGACTTTTCCTGGAACAATTAGAAAGCCATATTTTGCAAAAGTTAGATCCTTACATCATACTATCGACAAAAATTTTTAAAATAGATCATATACCTAAAGGTAAAAGTTGCAATAAAACCACTAGAAGAAAGCTACTATAGAAGAAAATCTTTGTGACCTAGGGTTAAGCAAAGACTTCTTAGATATGATACTAAAAACACAGTACATAAAGAGTAAGTTGATAAACTGGTCTTCATGAAATTAAAAACCTGTACTCTTCAAAATGTGTCTTTAAGAAAAAAAGATAATTCACAGACTGGGAGAAAACATTTCCAAATCATCTAATAAAGGGTTTGTATCCAGAATGTAAAAAGAACCCTTAAAATTCAATCATAAGAAGAGAAGTAACCCAATTTAACAACGGGCAAAAGATGTGAATAGATATTTCAAAAACAAAGATAAGTGAATGACTAATACATTAAATGATGCTCAACATCATTAGTCATTAGAGACATACAAATTAAAACCACAATGAGATAGCACTCCATACCTAAATTGAGAGGCATTCTCAAGTAGATCAACTTTAAAAAAAAAAAAAAAAAGTTGAATGGAAGGACAGAATCTGGAAATTGATACTCTTAAAATTATTTTTGCTGACCTATTCTTTGGAAAGCTTTTGTGTACCTCCAGTGGTGCACATACCATATTTGAAGACCACTGGTATGAGAAAACAAGAAAGATACGGTGGCTTAGACAGTAACACTTAACAGGATTTGATGATCTGGAAAGGTGTCAAGCATGAATGAGGCTGATGGGGCGGGGGAGTAGTTAGGGCTGGAAAAGGAGCTAACAGGAAAAAGGTGAGGGAAAGAAGCAGAATTCTTTTAAGAGTTTCTGACAACATCCTCCATCATCATCATCATCATGATTCTGATAGTCCCCAGCATTAGCAAAGTAAAGTGAGGAAGATGGCCTCAGGCAACACCCACAATGTTTTTATCATTTACTTGACTCCCCTACAGGCTCCCTGCCCTAGCCCACACTGACAAAAAGCCACCATGCCCAGGCAAGTCTCTACATTTCCCTTCAAACACTCACATCTAGAAATCACTCTGTAGCAAGTAACTGGACCAAAGCAGAAAACTGTACCAAGCACAGGTGACCTTCCCTTTTCCCCTACATCTTAATCTGATGTACTCAAATTACAACATTTCTCACACTGTAATAATTGTTTACATGCTTGCCTCTTCCCTAGCCCCTTAGAGACTGTGACTTAAGACAGACACTTCTTACTCATCTTGCAATCTTCAGCAGCCAGAACAGTATCTGACCTATACTGCAGTCAATAAATGTTCAAAGAATGGAAGACTAGGCTTGTTAATACTATAAATATAAACTCCAACCATACAATTTAAATATCTTTGTCTACAAAAGAACTTTTTTAACATATCATGGGCAGCAAATGTATTTTAAAACCCAATTTTTCTTTCTTGGGAGAGCCACTAATCTATAATTAAGAACCCGATATGTTATATATCTAATCACCTTTTACATACATGGGAAGTGGCTATATAAAAGAAATGTGTTGTAGTGAAAAGACCAGTGGACTAGACAGAAGCTAGGTAACCCGGTTAGGGCTAGTACCAGACACTCTGTGTCTTCTCAGGCATTCAGTTTCCTCCTTTGTGAAATGAAAGGATTAATGTGCAATCTCTAAGCACCCTTCAAATGTTAATATTTAAGAATCTTTAATCTGAGTGTTTAATGAACAATTAGCAGGCAGGAGGCACGTCAGTCGCTGAGTATTCCTAACATTTTGGTACCTCTTTGCTAGAGATCAAACTAAATAATACTGTCAATATTCATTCAGTACTTCAACTCCATGAACAAAAATAAAAAGAATCTCCTTTTGAAATTAGGAACGTGACTTTTCGATTCTAATAATTTAACTCTTAAAGCACACATTAAATCACACATCAGAGGCATTGACGTAATAAACAAACTAGACGCTTACCTGCCAGGAAACTGCTCCTAAAATCGCTGTTGCAAGAAGACTAAAAAAAATTAACTGCTCTGAAATTAAGCAAAAGTGACGCATCCCTTTGGATGCCATGATTCTATCAAGGCTATTGTTATCTACCCTGTGGGTGAAATATACTTTATGGCAGTCATTTAATTTGGTATGGAATCCCCAAAGAGTTAAGAGAAAAATAATATGGCAAATCATCCAGAAAATTCCAAAAATGGAAAAGCCTGGTATTACAAAATACCAGAGGTGAGTATCTCTAAGTTTAAATGCTGAAAGAATAAAAAAGGTAAGCTCAATCATTCCTGTGAAAACGACTGAAAGTCTTCTGCATATTCTTCCACGGTACAAAAAGGGTTTCCACCTTTCAGTCACTGAAAGTCCACTAAAATAAATGTCAAGGAAAGGGTCAGTTATCAGGCAGATAAAAAAACATGCAAAAGCAACTGGATTTTTGGGAGTTTCCAATGAGGAGAAAAACAGCAAGACTGCAAAAATAACTAAGTTTGGAATAGCTAAGAAAGACTTCATTCTCAGGTCAATAATCAGCATGGCCAAAGCTACAACAAGTAAAATGACACTCAGAGACTTCTCCACCAACATAGTTGTGCTGGCAATAGCAAATCCAACAAGTTCCAGAAATTCTACTGTGGTCAGTAAAGTGGGTCGATGACGGACATACCCAGAAATTCTCTCCACCAAAGCGCATAAGATCCTTAGTACTATGGAAGTTAGAAGCAAATATTTGGTTGACTCTTCTTTCACATCATTTTTAAAGGATGAATTGTCAAGAAAACATAGGAGGCCAAGCAAGAATCCAAACCAAAGATTGGAGAGACTTAAACTTGCTGCTTCCATTGAAAAATAATAATAGAGTATGCTGGCAATTCCAAGAACGAAAAGACCAAGAATAAAAATTACCAAAATTAAGGAATTTGCTGTTTTTTCCCATCTTACATAAAGACCTAAGCATATAGCAACCAATAAATTGATTCTGGCTAAATAGCCAAGATAACGCACTGAAGAATGCATGTTCACTTCTCTGTTGACTTCTTCCAGTCTTGTCATTGCTAAATACAGACAATGACTAAAGCAGTAACGCAGTGATTTACACATGTAATCTGGCAATTTGGGCTTTCTCCCTGTGGTACAAAAATTTACTGCTTGTTTTTCCTCCAGCAAATCCAACGTATCCGTAACTCCTATTTCAGCATTTCCTCTGGTGGAATTTTTGTTTATAGTAATCTAAAAAGAAGAAAAAAAGGTCAGTGTTAATTTTATATAATTTATATTTTATATCTCTCTTTTCTGTAGAAAATAATAAAATGAGAAATAAAGCTTCTTCTGAAACTCAGTTTTAAATTTGACTTGCATGTATCTTAATGGTAATTGTTTCTGGTTTAAAAACTCAGTTTATCCATATAAAAATGACAGCGCTTTCTACTTAACATATGCTACGAAGTATGACTAAATCACCACCAGTGAAACTGTTTTTCCAAAGACTAAGCCATTCTTACTTCAATGGTTAGTTTTTCAACTACAATGTGTAAATGTGAGATATTCAACCTAGCTTAGATTGTAGAAGATGGATCTGGCACAATCAAAAACTACTCAGCAGCTAACCGAATGATGGGCTTCATCATTACATCTAATTTGAAAAGCACTAGTATCCAGTAATAGCAACTGTTCCTACCTAAAATCCTCTCCATCTTTTTATAAGGCAGCTCTAACAGGCTATAAAATCTTAGTCTTTACATTGTTTAACTAATAAACTTACCAAAAGTAAAGTTTAACTGCATTAAAGTTAGTCCCTGAAGTTAACCCATAATTTTCCCTATACTTTGATCTCTACTAAATTACTTGGTTATCAAACCTTTCTAGATCTAAATACTATCCTGTAGCAAACCAATTCCTGAACTTTCTAGTCAAAATTCTGAAGTTAGAATCCTAACCAATATTAACTATAAGTTAAACTTTATACTTTTTTTTTTTTTTTTTAAGATTTTATTTGACAGAGAGACAGCAAGAGATTTTTTTTTTTTTTTTTTTAAGATTTTATTTGACAGAGAGACAGCAAGAGAGGAAACACAAGCAGGGGGAGTGGGAGAGGGAGAAGCAGGCTTCCCGCTGAGCAGGGAGCCCGATGCGAGGCTCGATCCCAGGACCTTAGGATCATGACCTGAGCCCAAGGCAGACGCTTAACGACTGACCCACCCAGGTGCCCCCAAACTTTATACTTTTACCCTTAAAAAGTTAACAATTATTCGTTAAAAAACCCAGATAATTATTTTAGCCTTTGAGTGCCCCCACAAATTGCACTTAAAACATGACAACGGCCAAAAAATGCTTTAACTATCTACCAGATAATTCTTCAAAGTTTATGTTATACTGTTTCAGAACTGATCCATTCAACAGCTCATGGTCACAATAAATATCCATGGAGAACTCAACCAGACAAAAATTCAAAAAAATGTTTGTGATGGGCTTATTTATACTTTAACAGTAGGACACATGAGAGGCACCTGGGTGGCTCAGTCGGTTAAGCGTCTGTCTGCCTTCAGCTCAGGTCATGATCCCAGAGGCCTGGGATCGAGTCCTGCATTGGGCTTCTTGCTCAGCGGGGAGCCTGCTTCTCCCTCTGCCGGCCACTCCCCCTGCTTGTGCACACTCTCTCTCTGACAAATAAAATCTTTAAAGAAAAAAAAAATAGTAGGACACTAAAAGAAAGACTCGACAGAAACATGATAAGCTGGAATTAACCCTTAATTACTCATTTGGCTGGAGAAGATTTTACTGAATGACAGTCTTACAGTCTCTGGGACGTTCTAAGTACTATTACTAATTCTACTTCTCACTAATTCTGCTTCAGCAAGTGTATTTTTCACAGATAAACCTATTTAAGTATTCTGATTTTCCTCAATTACATTTTCATCCAATCATTTCTTAAGATACCATACACCGCTAAAAAAATGTCTTCCTTTGGTATATTTTGGCTTTATCTTTTTGCTTATATGTAAGACACTGATAAAATCTAGAGTGCTTTGCATTTTTTTTTTTTTAACATCACTCCTGTAATATAATCGTTCAACAAACAGGTTGGAATACAGATCCTCAAAGGGTTGATGGTACAGTCTGGGCTTAGACAACTGAACACTGCTGAAGAAAAAAACAATCACACACCAGTCTCAATGGTTGCCACTCAACTCATGAGACATCCTTCTGTTTCTTTGGTCAACACTCTCCCATTCTGTGAGTATCCAACCTCTCTTCCTTAGCCTCAAATCTCTGACACCCACTTCCCACACACTGCACTCTCACTAGATGACTGCCTCCAACAGAGTTGTCAGAATAGAGCTTACTTGAGTTTCCAACACCACAAACCCACCTCTACCGACATCTCCTGATACAGGGGAAGAAGGGTGTCCCTTTCCTATCTAAGGCTAAATCTTTCAGACATACTGGCTATCTTTTCCCCTCTACCTCTTCCAGAACTTCACAGTCTCTTGGCTCTTCAAACTCCCACTCTTCTCTTATCCATTAGCACTTAAACATTTGCAAAGCTTTTTTTAAAAACAATACCAAAAAAACCCAGAAACAAAAACAATCTTCACGCATCCCCATCTTCTCTTCCAAGTTCAATCTTCTGTCCTCTTTTGACAGCTATTCTATGATTGCTTCACTTCTCACACCACTCAACAATGGTTCCCACCATACAACAAACTGCTCTGCCAAATTCTAAAGTGACCTATAAGCTCCTAAAACCAACGCGTACTTTTCATTTATTATCCTGCACTTTTTTCAAACAACCTTTGACATTGTTGACTCCTCTCAGTTTCTGAAACCTGCCCTTCCTTTAGCTTTCAAAGACCAACCTCTAGATTTTCTTCTAACTCAGTGATCTCTCCTTCTCCGTCTTCTTGCAGACTCTTTGATTCTCAATCCATCCTTTGGATGTTCAACCCCAGGCCTAGGCTTTTCTCTCACTGTACACTTTCTATGAGCAGTCTCAACTATTTCCATGTCTTCAATTATTCTCTCTCTCCCTAATTACATACATATATTAATCTGTCTGATAGAAATAAAAGCACCAGCGCTCTTAGAAGTAAAACCCTAGAAAAAAGGTAAACAAGGGCGCCTGGGTGGCTCAGTCGGTTAAGTGGCTGCTTCAGCTCAGGTCATGATTTGGGGTTCTGCAATCAAGCCTCACGTCCAGCTCCTTGATCAGCGGGGAGTCTGCTTCTCCCTCTCCCCCCACTGTGCTCGCTCTCTCTCTCAAATAAATACTTAAAAAAAAGAAAAAAGGTAAACATGTAAATTATACCCATAACAACCATATCATAGAATATATGCAACCACACTGTCAAAATCAACATGCAGAATATTTTTAAATGGCTAATTTACAAGTCTTTCCACATTCTGAACTTCTTCAAAGGACAAACTGGCTGAATCAGAGAGTAAGACAACAAAGCAACAGAATCTTTTCAACTGGTCTGCCATTACTTGATTCAATGAGAAATTACTTGTGAGACAGATAAAAATGGAGCACAGAAGAGTCAGTCTGCCTAGGGGAACTCCCAGAGTCTGTTTTATAAAACCCCACATCCTACTCTAACCCTCCTCTCCTTCACCACCTATATTTAGTAATAGCAAAATGCTGATTGTCATTTGCTTAAGGTCTGCATTCCCACTAGATCACAAGGTCTCTGAAAGTTTGTCTTTAATACTGTGTACCCGTGTCTTGTTAGAAAATTTGGCACCAAGTAGATATTCAACAAATACCTGTGAAAGAAATAGAGACTAATATAGAAATAATTATATTTAATAACAATGCCAGTTATTGGACACTTAGTAATACATGAAGAGACTAAAGTTGTAATAATATCCCACAGCACATAAGTAATAAAACTAAGGGAGAGTCCATGAATGTTTGGTTTGTTTCTCTTTTCGCCTTACTTCAGCCTTCACTTAATTCATCCAAATTCCTCTAAACCAGTGAGTTCTCTTCCGTGTCCTACCTCTAGGGAATGGCTCAATAGAGCCACTACATACACTATCACTTGCGTCAGCTTTGGACTCAAAACAATTTCCGTCCCATCTAGGAGAAGCGTCAAAAGCTGAAAGAACTATACTGAGCACCTAAGGTCGGGGAATTCCCGTGCTTTGATTCTATGAATTCATGTTAACTCTTTGGGCCCACTACATACGAGGAGAATGGCAACTTTAAATATTCAATCTCTTAGTACTGGGGCAACAACAGCAATTCTTCCAGAAAGAGCCTGCCTGTGCTCTACCACCCCTCTACTTTGGGAGATGGCAACGACAACTGGGGGCCCAAGTGCCTGGGGAACCGCGGGGGATATGGAGCACCCCACCTTCCAGCCTCCAACCCCCACCGTCAACTACTCTCGGGGCAGGTATCGCAATCTCGGCGCCGGGTGACCGGCTGTGCGGAGCTAGGGGCTCGAACTACGCAGAGACCTGGGCGGTGTCTATGCTCAGGTCCTGCCACCGCGCTGTTCACCCCGACCTCCCTACCTGACTCGGCCGCCGCCACCAACGCTCTCTCAACCCCCGGAGTCGGCTCTGGGGCCAACACAGTAAAGGGAGGGCCCTTGGGGCTGAGCTTGCGACTCGGAGCTGGGAGGTGGCACGCTGGGGGGGAGGGGGGTCCGAGGGCCCGAGGCCACAGGCACTAACACAAGCCAGTCTCCGTGGAAACTTTCTCCGTTACCGGCCCGACCGCGGCCGCCATGTTCTTGCCGCTCGGTCCGCGACGGTACGGAACGCCGCCGGGGTCAAACCGCGCGGCGCGCTTCCTCCCTGAGGCCCGGCCCCCTCCCCGCTCAAACTCCCCGTGCCGCCGCCGCCCCAGGTGTGCCCGGCGCTGCGACAACACACAGAGCACCGCCCCCCCGCACATAGGGTGCCGGCTGAGTCCGGCCTCCATCGCCTTCCGGGACCTAGGATCGGCGGCGAACAGGGAGTGGGAAGACCACGAAGGATCACGTAGACCGTGCCCATGAAGACTTCAGGCCGCCGCCTCCGGCTGGACGGAAAGTGGGACTGGACGGGCGGGATGGCCCACACGTGGGCTGTAAATACCGCAGGAGGCGTTGCTGTTCTTTAGAATCCGTAGCATAATGCATGGCTTTGTGTCCGCTGACCAGCAGAAGCCCAAGTTTCTTAGGCTCGCCTTCAAAGCCCTTCTAGCCTCCTTTTCTAATTAAGACTCCTTTTAA